TCCCTACCACTGTCACCCTTCTGAACCTGCTGAAGAGAAGACCTGCGAATCCCCTGTGAGCCAGATCATGAACCGCCAGCGAGGGGAAAGTTACTGTTCAACCTAATCCAGTGCAGTGGCTATCCACGTTCATAGTGTAAGAAGAAGTGGCTAGAAAGTCATCTGAGAAGCTCATCAGCTGCAGTGAGCTATGAGAAATTACTAACTGTATAACTGTTGAATCATTGCTCCCCAACCACGTATCAACTGAGCAAAACAATCCCTTACACAATCAACTTATTACTGTAATAGATTACTTTCATGAGTAACCGTCCCCACACTGGGTAGAGCACAATAAATCAGATCAGAGGATACTGATAGTGAAAACATGCAGTGATACCAGGCCTCTGTACAGGATATTAATTCACAAAGATAATTCATGTACGTCAGTATTACAGCACACTAATGTTGAGGGACTCAACATTATATCAGTATTACAGAATATTAACTGTATTACAGTATATTAATGTGAGGTATTCATGTCAGAGTTACAATATATTAACTGTATTACAGTATATAAATGATCGGTTGATTATTGTAATGATATTGTTGATAAAATTGACTAACCTGTTTGCTCCTGAATTCTCTTTCTTGTGGAGAATTTCTAACTATTTAATATTTTTTCTAACACTTGTTCCAAAGCTCTCTTGGAGTGAAAGTGAAGAGGGAGAGAGCAGAGCTGATTATAACTGTTCCACACCCCTCCCCAAATACCCAGAAAGTCCCACAGTTGATATGGCAATATTTTGACACTGATGTTTCAGAATAAAATTGTTCATGTGCATTTTTGTGTTTCGACACTGGGCTGCTGCATGTGTCATTTCGCACTGGGTGTGTGTGTTTATGAGGGTGGTTGTGGTTCTTTTTGATGATCTGTCATTGTGCACTGCATGTGTGTGTGTGCGTGTCCGAGGGTGGTGGGGGTCCATCCTGATGATCTGTCATTATGCACTGGGTGTGTGTGTGAGGGTGGTAATTCTTGCACAATATATAGTACTTAGACAAAGTTGGCTTTTTATCTATGTGTCAGCAAAATGTGTAAAATGGACTCGCAGTGCACCCAGAATACCTAACACACTCCATTGTTATAACATCTGTATGTTTTCTGTAACAATCTTGATACAGAAGGTGCCTACATACAGTTTGTTCACAGTTACTGTACCAACACCAGATTGTCCTGACAGTAAGTGTGATATTTTATCACAGGCGTGTGGGTGAATACAGAGCCCTTGTGACATTCAAGGCAGAAGAACTCAGCCGCATGAGGTGATTAAACTGGACCCAGACTAGAAACTGTATTAGAAAGGCTTCTTCTCCAGCTCCTATTCAGAATTCCTGATGTCTGTACCGAGGCCACTGGAATAATGAAGAACATGTCTGAATTGTGCAAACATTGTCAGGGTTATTTTTTTCATGTATCCCAGCTGTGTGTTGAAAGATAAAAAAGGTTAGGGACACACAGTAATAAGCAACTTTAAGTTCACCTTCATTAATCTCTTTATCTATTCAATGTGCACTATTGTAACTCGCAATTGAACTAACTCAGTCTACATTTAGATCATTAGGCTTTCTTTACACCTTGCCAATGAGTCTGTCACCCTGTTTGACGGGACACAAGCACTCAGCCGGATCACTTACAGATAATCTCATCACAGCTCTCTTCCCCTTCCTTCAGCTGCCGACACTGTAGGGATGCAAGGAGTATCACAGCACAGCCCGTTAAGGTTCGAGGTGAATTTAATTGCAACGCAAAATGGCCACTTCTGCAGAACACTGAAGGAGACACACATGGGGTGTATTTCCCTCAGTGCCCTGAAGTGCGGCAGTGGTACAGGTGGTTTTATGGTCTGAGCCCAGGCTTGTTATTCCCATGAACGGGGGTTTAAGAGTCCGCATTCTCCTTTTGTTCCAGTGGCTATTCGTGATGCTGCTGTCCCCCCTTTCTGCTATTTGTGTGGTGTCTCTTCACAACTCTGCAAAGCCAGGTCAGGAACTAGGACCCCAGTCACAGTTTTGTGGACAATTTTTAAAGTTGTACAAAAAGAACACCTTAGTAATCTACATGGAGCAGTTACAGTTTTAGCCATCTTGAGAAAAATTTGGACATTTCCATCACAAATATATAATTGGTATGATCTTGGATACACACGTTGGTGCTATTGCGGATGTCAGTTGTATTGGGTGCAATTAGAAATCTCCATCATATTAACCCCTCTGAAAGGCCTCCAGCATTTCTGCTGCTTTGTGTATCAGTTCCACCTCCTCCACATCTGTTTTGTTCAGGTATTGTGTGAGTATGGACATACTGCACTGTCCTCAGCCTCTCTCACTCCGGCAGGCACAGTACTGTATCATGAAATGAATGTGGAGTTTCTTCATTTCTCCACAACACTATCCACACATTGTCACCTGCATCCAGAGGGTGTGGGGTTGCTGATTATAACGGAGTCCCATATATCTGGGTGTCTCTGTTCCTTATGAGACCACAGTGTGGCCGACAATCTTCCCAGTTCAGGAGGTCCTCTAATAGTGACATCATTTCCAAACATCTTGTTGCAACTACATACACCATAATGAGTTTTCATAAGTAATTGTCATCCTCTAATTCACACTCTTTTGTGTTAGTAATATCTTCCGATATTGAGGGACATCCCTTCATCTTTGTGTGGAATCGTCAAAACTGATCAGTTTTGATGAGTTATATACCCTATTCTTTACATTCTTCAGAATAGCTTCAAGAGCTTTTTTAATCCCTTCCCACATTAATTCTTAACAGTTTGGCAGTTGTCCGCTCATTGATTTTTAACCAGATGTATTGTTGATTTTCGGAACAACCTTTTTCATTCTACGACACATAGAACATACTTTGGTTTCTTTGCACTCAAATCCGGACTTGCGATATCTGCCCGGTCATCCAATATCTGTGACGAAGCGTTTTTAAGGACCCCATGCAGGCGGCAGAATCCGGGAGGGAGTGAGACAAACACGGGGGAGAGAGGACTGGGAGCGGGGCTGGTAGACGAACAGGGGGGCGTGTCGACGGTGCGCTGGTGCTCGGGGGGGCATGGTCCAGGCGAAAGCCCAAAGGGGGTCCGTAGGGAAATCCAGAATAGAGTCGGGGGATTTAAAGGGGGGTAATGGGGCCAGGCGCTCCCAGCCCCGGACCCAGATGGTCAGGTCGCCGTTGTGAAGCCTGTGCCATCAAGCCACTCCTGGACTCGCTGGTAGGTGGGCTTCCGGCCATCCAACTTTCACATAACCTCGTCTGCTATATCAATGCACTGACTGATGAATTAAGCCCTGGTTTTAAAAATCAATACAGTCCGTGGTTGGGCATCAGAACAGTGGCAGATTTCCTGACCTTCCTCCAGGGGCTCGATCGTGTGTATTCTCTGTGCACGATGTCACAATCTGTACAGACGCAGTGCGAAAATTTTAAAAGTACCTACCTTTAGTGATGAACCAAATGTGGAGGCAGCATCAGTGGTGATCATTTTATTTTACTATTTGTCATGTTATTTTCTGTGACAATGTCAAGTAAAGCACTTCTTCACCACAGGACTGATGACAAGGCTACTGCACATAGTCAGTGTGGACACATGGGTTAACCAGGAAGAGCAATGCGTACACATCAGATTCTGATTGGCTCACCTAACTTCCATGAGCCAATCACAAAACAGTAGTGCTTGACATTTCTACCTCTAATCAATAAAAACCCGTTTACGCCACAGTGAAGGTATTGTAAACGATCTTGTTAAACCATTTAATGATTTTCAAAAATGTAAAAAATGACAAACAAAATTGCACTTTGTTTTTTTGGAAACAATTCAGAAAAAAGTTACCAAATCTACACAGACTGCATAGTTCATGTTCAGAAGGTATAAAATGTGGATAAATCCCACCCAGATCCACCACTATAGTGTCCCATATCCTGCTGAAAGCTGCGTAGAAACAGCACTAAGCGTGCAGTTCACTAAGGTTACACCAAAAGCAATTAACATATGTATTACCACTAATAAATTGCTACTATATTAAACATCTTTAACCATGATTAAGATAAAAACATTTCATTTACATAGAAAGAAGTACAGATTACTTCCATGTCGAGAAACAGGGAAAAAAAGCATTTTAAGAGAGATTTAAGATTTAAGATCAGAGATGGTATCTCTCTTGGTTCCTGCACAGCTCAGAGACTGATGTGGCTGGGTGAAAACAACAACATTAACATGAAATTTGGGTTTTGTTTATATTTTAGGAAATAATTTTGAGCAAAGTTCAGGGAAATCCATTGTAGTGTTTGTAGAGTAGTGTTGGGATTCTCTCCCAAGATGGCGCTGTGCTAGTGGCAGCCTGTTACAGCAGCTCTGTGTCTTTCTGTTGTCTTTCGTTTCTGTTGTAGTTAGTGTTAGCGTTCTTCTTTCTTATTTTTTTTGCCGGCAATTAGCTTTTCAATCACAATATGAGGGATATTAAGGAGCCGAGATACTTCTTGTTTTTTCTGTTACTCGGACCACTGTTTACTTCGGGTTGCTATGCCGACGGCTGCAGAGGCACTGTTTACACGTGTGAGCAGCCGATCGTGCGAGTGCGTCCGACTCCACTCCCCGGGGAGAAGCCATCAGTTCAGGAGGAGTTGAGGAGGAAACGCCGAGGCTGCAGGGCCGGTGCGACGCGAAAGACGAAGAGAAGGAGATTTAAGCCCCATCTTCCGTCGATCATTATGGGGAACGTGAGGTCCCTCGCGAACAAGATGGACGAGCTGGGGGCGTTGGTGAGGAGTCAGAGGGAGTACAGAGAATTCAGTATCATGTGTTTCACCGAGACGTGGCTGCAAGAACATATTCCGGACTCGAACGTTACCATCGGTGGCTTTCAGACAACGCGGAGGGACAGAAACACCACGGAGAGAATTAAGAGGAAAGGAGTGGGTCTCGCGGTGCTTGTTAACAACAGATGGTGTAATCCTGGACATATTCATGCTAAGGAGCGCTTCTGTAGCCCGGGCATTGAGCTTATGATTGTAAGTCAATGTTATTATTTACATTCCGCCTACGGCAAACACAGAGGCAGCGTGTGATGTCAAACAGTCACAGCCAGGCTACAAATGCAACACCCTAGCGCTTTCATGGCTATTTCAGGGGACTTTAATCACGTTTCTCTTTCCACCACTCTGCCCACTTTCCACCAGTTTAAGTGCCCAACCAGGGAAAATAAAACACTGGGCTTACTAAATGCTAATGCTAAGGATGCTTATAGCTCCACTGCCCTTCCCCCCCTTGGCAGATCAGATCACAACCTTGCCCTGTTTACACCACTATACGAGCCTATTGTCCAGCGCTAACCTGCGACCATGAGGACTGTGAGGAGATGGTCTCAGGAGGCTATGGAGGATCTAGGATCTGGCCACAGGACCAGATAACGTCTGTCCCAGGGTTTTGGGGGTTTGTGCTGATCAGCTGAGTGCTCCAGCGACTGTTCAACCTGAATCTGCGCTTGGAGAGAGTCTCTGGAAGACATCATGCCTGGTCTCGGTACCAAAGAAAGGGCGCCCCTCTGTCCTCAATGACTACAGACCAGTTGCGCTGACTTCTCACGTCATGAAGACACTGAAGAGGCTGCTCTTGGCCCACTTGAGACCCCTGGGTAGTTCATCACTGGACACTGGACTGGAATGTTGGTATGGAAGACACAATCATCTACATGCTGCAAAGGGCCTACTCCCACCTGGACAAGGCTGGCAGCACTGTGTGGATTATGTTTTCTAACTTCTCCAGTGCCTTCAATACTATCCAGCCCTTACGGCTAGGGAGGAAGCTGGAGGAGATGCAAGTAGCAGTTTGTGAGACTGCAGAACTGTGTGTCTGAACAGGTAGTGAGGAATACAGGGGCTCCTCAGGAGACAGTTCTTTCTCCGTTCCTTTTCACCCTCTATACTTCGGACTTTAAGTACAACTCAAAGTCATGCCACCTGCAGACATACTCAGACGACTCTGCAATTGTGGGATGTATCAAGGGTGGGCAGGAGGCAGAGTACAGATTAACAGCTTTGTGGAGTGGTGTGGGGAAACATGGCAAAGACTAAGGAGTTGGTGATAGACTTCAGGAGGAAGAGGGTCCAACCTACTTCTGTCTGCATCCATGGGAGTGGCACGGAGATAGTTGATTCACACAAGTACCTGGGAGTGCACATCGACGATAGACTGGAATGGACTAAGAACACTGAGGCCATCTACATGGTCAGAGCCGACTTTACTTCTTGAGGAGGCTCAGGTCCTTTAACATATGTAGTAAGATTCTACATATGTTCTATCAGTCTGTTGTAGCGAGTGCTAATTTCAACGCGGTGGTGTGCTGGGGCTTTGGGACTAGAGCAGGGGATGCCAACAGGTTGAACAAGCTCATCAAAGAGCAAGCTCTGTCATTGGGTTTGATCTGGACCCCCTGGAGGTAGTGGCTGAGAAGAGAATGGTGTCCAAATTAATGACCATCATGGAAAACGTCTCCCATCCCCTTTATGACATGCTTGTGAGAATGAAGAGCACGTTCAGCAATAGACTGATCCATCCACGGTGCGACAGGCAGCGCTACAGGAGGTCATTCTTGCCTTCTGCCATAAGACTTTACAGCTCGTCCACTATGTGTTTGGGGAGGGCAACACTGACCTGTTTTGGGACTAAACCTGAATCCTCTGTTTACAGCTGGTTTTCTGTTTACAACTGGTGTGCAATATATGCTTGTGGATAATGTGCAATATATTTATACTGTGCAATACATCTTCTTGTGTACTGTACACTCTGGTTTGTTTTTGTATATTCTGTACTGTGTGCAATTCTCTATACTACATTTTATTGCACTTCTCACTGCCTGTGCTTACTGTATTGTACTGTTGTATTATTGTATTATTACATGACACTGTACTGTGTTGACTGTGCTTGGCTGCTGTTGCACTGCAATTTCCCTCAGGGGATTAATAAAGTATCTATCTAGTGTTTTTAGCGTTTGTTAGCTTCAATGCTGCTTCTGAAAGTGGACTTGAGGTGACGGAGTTTCTGACTCATACGAGCAAATAGCAGGAAAAGGCATCAGAAAAGATTTTCCTGATCTCAGTCTGGAAATATCTTTTGAATTCTCTCCGTAATGATCCGTCCAGCAAGCAGTCTCATGCCTTATTAGACAAGACATTGATTCCAAAAGGACAAATTCCAGTTCTTTTTGGATGCGAGCTGGAATCGGAGGAAAAACAAACGTCGATCCTGGGGAAGTGTGTAAGTCTGGCAGAAGAGCATGTAGGACCGTGGTGTTAGAGCAGGTCTGTGGCAGACACACGGCGACGTGGATCTACGCTGGCGCTCCGAGCCCGCTAGGTGCAGCTGAGTGGCCGCTCGCCCGCGTGAACCCGCCGGTGCCCTCGTAAACCGCTAACATGTCTGAAGCTCCTCCCGCACTCGTCGCAGCTGTAGGGTCGGTCCCCTGCGTGAACCTGCTGGTGCTTCTTCAGGGTGATGAGCTGAGCGAAGCTCTTCCCGCACCGGGCGCAGGTGTAGGGCCGCTCCCCGGTGTGCGCGCGCAGGTGAATCCTCAAGCCCGAGCGGCTGAAGCTCTTCCCGCACTGGGGGCAGGTGCAGGGCCTCCGGCCCGTGTGGGTCTGCTCGTGCTTCTTCAGGGTGCTGGAGCAGCTGAAGCTCTTCCCGCACTGGGGGCAGCCGTAGGGCCGCTCGCCGGTGTGGGTCCTGCGGTGCTTCTTCAGGTCGCCCGAGTAGCTGAACCTCCTGCCACACTCGTCGCAGCCGAAGGGCCGCTCCCCCGTGTGGACGTGCTGGTGCGCCTTCAAGCTGCTCGGGCGGCTGAAGCTCCTGCCGCACTCGTCACAGCTGAAGGGCTTCTCGCCCGTGTGGCTCTGCTGGTGCCGCCGCAGG